TTAGATGAAACAAAAGTAAGGCTGCAAATTTTACTGAATTGTAAATTACAGATGTGTAACTAAACTCTTTTAACATTTGATAACACTAGCCTTTTGAACTCCAAATTAGGAGAAAGAATATTTTATATAATCAAACAAGGATGTTAATTGGAAAATCTAGACTTATAATATGCCACTAGTAACAAGTATGCATGGGTTAAGTTGAAATTCCAAGTTTTTAAAAGATTTTATAGTTGTACAAAGGAGATCTTGTTGTAATGAAATTTCAATTAAAGTAAACATTTAAACAGAAAAGCAAATTTAGCCAATAGCCAAGTGATTATTAATTTTAAAATGGTAAATGAATGGTTGTTACCCTGTAGAAAAGAAGAGTAACGATGATTTAGAATGTGGATTTGTGTCTCTCTTTCGCTTTCCTTTGTTGTGTATAAGATTGGGATATACTGATATAATCCAAAATCTGTTGGTTCTCTTCAATTTTTATTATGTTGAAACTTAAAAATCAACCATCCAAACTCCAAAGCAGAAAAAACAGCGAAAGAGACAATGATTTATCGTTACATTGGAAATCAATTATTAAATCAAATCATACCTTATCTTCAAACATGTTCTCTATTGTTTCATTTAGGTCACCCTCCCAGCGAAATTCTTCATTATTTTCTTCTATTTGTACTTCTTGAAGATTTGGAGTGCTCGTGTCCCCCAAGGAAAACATCTCCATTCGAGGACATTCTTTGACAACTACTTCTTCCAACAATGGAAACCTAATGAAGCACTTACTAGAGCAAAACATGTGGAGCCTTGGTAAACAAATAAGTTCTAGAGTTTGCAAATTGAAAAATGCAATCTCATTGTTTGTCTCATCTTCTCTTCCACTCACTACATCCTCTAATAAATCGCACCCTTTTATCTTCATTGTTGTGAGCTTGGCCAGACTCTTTGCTGTTGAGCATGTTATCAAATTTACCAAACCAATGCAGTTTTTTACCTCTAAATCAGTCAAGTTGTTAAAGGTAACAGTGGATGGCACCAGATTTATGAGACTGGAACATTGGAAAACATATATACTTTCAAGACTATGAAGAACCGGGTCTATTTGGAATCCTTCCTTGCATATATGTTGAAGTTTATGGAGTTCCCATAATGTCAACATTGTGGGCTGTGTGCTAATTTTGATTTGCCTTTCCTCACCAATATGTTGTTCGTCTTGGAATATCTCTGTGAAGGAACTCCATTGAATCCTTAGGTCTTTCAAATTGGGTACATTTTCTAGAAACCAATATGGAAAAGGAGCTTCTTCATCAGTGAATTCAAACACCAAAATAGATTTAAGTTTACTGAACAGCTTCCCTGAATATTGGCTTTGCAATAAGATGTCAAAATCTTTATTATTCAGTAGCAACCTCACTGCATTAGGAAGTACCTGTTGCATGACCAAAATTAGAATTGAAAAAATCTACATTTTCCTTCTCAATTCTCAACAAAAGAATATATATACTTACTACTTTGTAATATCCCAGAAAAATAATAGTAATTTATAATAATAAAATTATAAATTAGTAGTAATAATAATTATATATATATATATATATATATATATATATTATGACTAATGATAAATTGTAATTAATTGAACTGTTAATTGATTGATCATTTATGCATTAATGCTTGATTATTTGATTGGATTAGGATGAGTCAACAAACTTAATTTGATTGGATTAGGATGAGTCAACAAACTTAATTTGATTACATATGATGAGTCAACATTCAGTCAATAATGAGTTAGCGATATTCTAAGTCATAAGAAATTAAGAATAATTAAAAATAGTGTATATACGAAGTCAATATCTGAGCCAAATACATTAATGAAGAATAAGGAAATAATTGCATGAAACCTATATCTGAGCCCAAAACTTCAACTATAAATAGAGGTATAGCCTAACCAAATCAATTCACTTTTTAACATTTCTCCTCCACTCTTCTTCTCCTCTATTCTCTCTCCACTTTTTAACCAAATCAATTTATTTTTATTTTTAAGGAGAGAGAGAATAGAGGAGGAGAAGAGTAGAGGGAAAATGTTGAAAAGTGAATTGGTTTGGTTAGGCTAGGTCTCTATTTATAGTTGAAGTTTTGGGCTCGGATATGAGTTTCGTGCAATTATTTCTTTATTCTTCATTGATGTATCTGGCTCAGATATTGGCTTCATACTCTCTCTTTTTTTATTCTTAATTTCTTATGGATCAGAATATCGCTAACTCATCACTGACTCATTATTGACTCAATGCTGACTCTTATTGACTCAATACTGACTCATCATATCTAATCAAATTAAGTTTGTTGACTCACCCTAATCCAGTCAAACATTACCAATCAAATAATCAAATATTAATGCATAAATGATCAATCATTTAACAATTCAATTAATTACAATTTATCATTAGTCATAATATATATATATAGTAATATATATATATATATATATATATATATATATATTACTATTAATTTATAATTTATTATTATTATAAATTACTATTATTTTTCTGGGATATTAAAGTACTGAATAGAATATCAACAAAAATGTAATTGACCAATCATCCTATCTGAAAAAAGAATTGTTTTTCTCTCGAGATGGAGACAATGGAAGACAAGTGCTTTTTGCAAGGGTAAATATTTTGAAAATATTCTCTTTGATGAAATCAACATAAAATGGAAAAAAAAAAAAAACTAGAGTATGTAAACATTATTCACTACAGCAAGGATAAAATTTTGCACTACCCATACCTCTTCAATTGTGAAAAGAGGTTGATAAGTTGAGACACGGAGTTTGTTATCTGTAGTTCTTTCTGGGGAGCTCATAGGCTGTGTCTTAAATAGCTCCAACTTTGGACATTTGAACACCTTTATTGTTTGCAAGGATTTACATTGAAGAGAATGGATCCCATTAACGAAACCCTTGAGTTTAGGCAAATACATAAGTTGAAGGAATGTAAAATTAGGGAACTCAAATTTAATTATCTCCTCACCTCCTTCTCCCTTGGCAATAATTTCTTCAACCCCACATTCACGTACTTCAAGATCCCTAAGATGTATCATATCTCTGGCTATTGAGAGTGGAAAGAGACTTGTTAAGATTTTGCATTCAACAACAGATACTTCGCACAGATTTTGAAAGCTCAAAGTTTCGTGGGGATGTTCCTTCCACACATACTTCAGTTTCGGAAGACTAGTCAATGTTAATTTTTTTAACTGACTAGAATTCTTCATTAGAATTTTTGTATCAAATTTGTCTTTCACATCAAACACGACTTCTAATGAACTACAATCTCTTATGTCTAGTTCTTCCAAGTTCGTCAATACTTGTAGTAAATTTGCTTGAAAGAGTACATCAGATAAAAAACCACATTTATGAACAACTAGATGCGTCAAATTTTTGAATATGTTGCCCTGAAGTTGGCCATACCATAATTCTTTAAGCTCAGGATATTCAGATAGTTTCAAATGCACGACACTACAAAATGTCACCTGTGTAAAAAATTCTATATAGTTAGTTTAAATAAAATAAAAGCATTGATTTATTATTACACAAGAAATCAATTTCTAATCAAAGCATACCTTTTCTTCAAATATTTTCTTTATTGTATCATTTAAGTTCCCATTCCAATGCCATTCTTCATCATTTTCTGTAACTTTCACTTTTTGAAGATTTGGTGTGCTTGTGTTTTCCACGGAGAAAATCTTCAAGCGAGGACATTCTCTTACAACTACTTGCTCCAACAATGGAAACCTCAAAAAACACTTATTAGAGCAAAATTTGTTGAGACTTGGCAAACTTTCCAACATCAATATTTTCAAACTAATAATTACAATGTCATATTCTTCTCCCTTTCCTATTATTATTTCTTCAAGTGAATTACACTCTTTTACCTTCAATTAATGTTGTCAGTTTGACTAAACTTCTCACTGTAGGAGATGTAATTAAATTTATCAACCCATTGCAATTTATTATCTCCAAATATGTCAAGTTACTAAAGGTAGCAGAGGAAGGTAACAAGTTTGTCAAACTAGGACATTCAATAACATATAAGACTTCAAGAACCTGAAGAACTGGGTCAATTTGGGATCCTTCTTCACAGATATGTTGAAGTTTTGGTAATTGTATTAGTGACAACCTTTTGAGCTGTGGGTAAGTTTTTTCACTTACTTGTCTTTCATCTTGGAATATCTTCTTGTAGGAACTCCATTCAACGACTAGATGTTCAAGAGTACACATATTTTGGAGAAGCCAATCGGGAAAAGAAGCCTCTTCATACTCACAATCGGTCAGCCCAAGAAATGTCAATTTGGTGAAGAGGGCACCTAAATTTTTGGCTTGCAGTATCATGTTAGCATCCCTATAGCTTATTCTCAACTTCTCCAAGTTTGGAATCATCTAAAACATAAATGAAGAATAATTTACAATAAATTCATATTTACTTTTGACGCAAAAAAACGAAATAATAATAAGAAAAAAAAATGGACTCAAAGTAGTTTATGCTGCCGTTGTACTTTCCATTTTGTTTTTCATTTTTCCATTACCAGTGTCCAATCCTCCGTTTCATCTAAAACCGTTTATCCTTGTCTATATTATAATCAAATACCTTTCATAAATTACGATATTCAAATCACTCCAGATGTAAAAATTTAACAATTTTTTGTGATCATATTTTTGCACATATGGTTTTTGAAAAAATAAAATAAAAAAGATGTTTTTTTTCAAGAAAAAAAAGATAATTAAGTTTTACCAAAAACAATATAAAATAAGCATCGGATATATGCTTAATACTTCTCTTTCCCAAGACCAATATTAAAAAAGTAAAAATAAAAATGCAACGTGGTATAATTTAAATAAGCATCGGATATATGCATGACAACCATTCTATTCCCGAACACTATTTCTAAAAAGAAACAATTCTTTTCTATTTCTATGCATTGGAACAGTTTCTGAGAAAAAAAATATGTTTGATAACATGTTTTATTTTTATTCCGAGAATGAGAATTGTGTTTGATAACACAACAAACAATATAATAAAAAATAATTCCTATTAAATATAAAAAAAAATTGGATCATCACTTTCCTTTCCATATGGTGTGGTTGTGGTGGTGGCGGCGATGGCGGTACGGTAGTGGTGGTGGCAGTGACGTGGTGAAGATAGTGGTGGTTGTGACGGCAGTGGCTGCGACGATGGAGGTGGTAATGGTGACAGCGATGGTGGTAGTGGTGGAGGTGACGGCAGTGGCTGCGACAATGGTGGTGGGTATGGTAGTTGGTGGCGGCAACAATGGTAGCAGTGGCATGGTGGTGGTGGTTGTGAGACATCATGATGGTGGTGGTGCAGTGGCTGCGGCGGTGGTGGTAGGTGACAGTGGTGGTGGTGATGGTAGCGGTGGTGGCGATGGTAGTGGTGGCGTTGGTGTAATGGTGGTGGTGGTAGGTGACAGTGGTGGTGGTGATAGTAGCGGTGGTGGCGATGGTAGTGGTGGCGTTGGTGTAATGGTGGTGGTGGTGACGGTAATGGCTGTGACGATGGTGGTGGTGGTGGCGGCGACGACGACGGTGGTGGTGACGGTAGTGGTTGCGGCAATGGTAGTGGTGGTTGGTGACAGTGGTAGTGATGGTAGTAATGACGTCGTGGTGGTGGTAGTGATGGCGATGGGGGTGGTGACAGTGGCGTGTGATGGCGATGGTGGCGGTGATGGAAGTGGTTGCGATGATGGTAGTGGTGGTTGATGGCAGTAGTGGTGATGGTGGCGGTAATAGCGGCGGTGACTGCGGTGGTAGTTGTGGTGGTGGTGACGATGGAATAGTGGTAGTGATGGCTGGAGGTGGTGGTAATGGTGGCGGTGACATCATGGTGGTGAGGGGTGATGACGGCGGTACTAGTGGTATGATGGCGGCGGCGACGATGGTGGCGATAGTCGTGTCGGGATGATGGTGGTGGTGGTGATGATGGTAGAGGTGGAGAGTGATTGAGAAATATAAGTATTTCTCATTTTGTGCCCGAGAACAAAAAAGCAGAAATTTTTTGATTCTTTTTTCTGTTCCCCAGCACAAAAATTAAACCGGTTCATCCCAGAAATAAAAAAATAAACTGGTTTTACCAAACGAGTTTCCTATCCATTTTTGTTCCCGGAAACAGAAATTTAAAAAGGATTAATTCCGGAAAGATTGTCATGCACACCCTAAAAGATCGCAATATTTTTCCTCTTAAATTTTGTGAGCACATTTAGCAATTTAATAATTTCTACGAATTTTAAATATTGTTTTTACCTAATTTTCAAAAGTAACTAGAGTGTTAAAATTCAAGTTTTCTACAATTGTGAAAACTAGCTAGCAGATCCATTGACTCATTTAATTTCCAGTCTACCACTATTTCGCGGTAGCTTATAGGTTTTGTCTTAAACACTGTCAATATGCGACGATTGGACAGAGCCATAATTTTTGAATTTCATGATAAAAACACAAAATCAGACATAATGTAGTTTCCATGCAATTTGATATGATACATACCTCTTGGAGTCTGAAAAGTGAGTGCTGCACAGCAACAGGGTGTTTACCATCCAGAAACCTTCCATCAGTTCTTGTAGATAGAATCTTGTATAAATTCAATTTTACACACCAAGAAACATCTATTTTTCTCAAAGATGGACATGCTAAAGTATAATTTCCTGCATAGAAACCCTTGAGTTTATGTAAGCTCCAAAGCAATAAAGTATTTAGTTCATTAAACTCAAATATGGGAGTTGTGCACATGCATCCTTCCTTCTGTGCAACAATTTCCTTCATGTTCCCACACCACTTTATAGAAAGTTCTTTGAGATGTGAGCAGTGAGTGGCAACAGAAAATGGAAATAGATAGTCCAAGCTTCCACAACTTCTTAGATATACGTTTTCCAGATTATGAAAATGAAGAATCCCTTCAGGATCCCTACTCCATGTCTTTTTCAGCTTTGGCAATGCTTCTAACGTAATGCTTTTCAGTTGTGTTCCATCCTCTATACTGCTCTTTTCATTCGAAGTCAAATCAAATATTTCTTCCACTAAAGCACAATCTGTAACCTCTAACCTCTCTAGATTGTGATATGTTTCCTGGATGGAACAAGGAAAAACCACTACAATTTTCTTGCAGTTTTTAACCTTCAAAGACTTAACTGTGTCAAATTGGCGGTGCCATATTGTCTCTAAGTTGTCCATGTCCTTCAATATGATTGTCTCCAATTTTGAAAATGGAACCTATGATTCACAATTTATGAAATCATAAAAAATTAACTTGTATCCATGATAAATATTTACATAAATGCAAGTTCAGAATTGTAATATTGTTCCAAATTTTAGAATTACCATACCTCATTGAGTGAGGCAGCAACACCATTGTTTCTCTCTTCAGTAGCTATTATCTCATCCATCAAATGACATTTATTGATTTCAAGCCGTTTGAGGTTCACAAAACTTCCAACCATGGTAGACGAGAATAAGTACTTAAGCCCACCACAATTCTTCACAATCAAGTTTGTCAATTTGTAAACAGAAGGTTGATTGACATCCCAAATTTTGCTCAAATTGAGTGAGCTCAACGTAAGTGAGCTCAACTTAAGGGTATCCAAATTAGGAAATGCACCCTACATATAAACAAATTAACAAAAATCGTAAGACATGTGATAGGGATAGCTACGATAAGCATTACCCATTCCAAAATTTATACATGCTTTTGTGGCATTCTATTATGTTAGATCCATAATTAATCATTAAAAACAAAAAAGATTAGAGTAAATACACTTTTTGGTCCTAACAAAAAAACACGATTTCCACTTTAGTCCCTTACAAAAAAATATTAGTCGACTGGTCATTATAAAATTCAAAGACTAATATGGGTCTTTTTTAAATTTATGAGGGAACACGATTTCAACTAAATGGTTCACTTTGAATTTCTTAGGGACCAATCGACTAATATTTTTTTGTAAAGACTAAAGTGAGAATCATATTTTTTGTTAGGGACCAAAAATGGTATTTACTCAAAAGATTAAATAGTTATAATAACTACCACTTATAGATATCAGGATTCAAAAACATATGGTCGACTCATATTTGTCCATATATATTTTTTTAAAACAACATTTTCTCCTTTTTATTTAATTTGTTGAGAAATGGAAAATATCAAATAATATAAATAGGACTTTGTTCATGATCAAGAGATTGTGGACTTTATTCCAGTGTTGTGAAAATTGGACCCGCCTAGCCGGTCCAATTGATTGACCTGAAAACTGAGTACCTGAGGAAGGATTCGAACTTAAAACATATGGATTATAACTTACACCACTTTCCATTATACAAACACTGTTTGTTGGATAAAACTCTTCTAATTTTATATTTATTATATATTAAACTCAAGAAGTTGAACTAGTGATCCACTGATTAAAAAAATGATCATTGACTCAGTACCCCGATCGAGTCGATGACTAGTTCGAGTTTAATAATACTATTTTTTTCATTATGAGATAAATCTCTCTATAAATAAATGATTATAATCACAGGTTAGTCTCATGAAACCCTAGTCTCTCCTATTTTTTTCACGCGTGCACATTTTCTGGGCATAGTGTGATTTGCCACCACATGTGGTTGAACAGGCCTAAGAGGTTGAATGTAGAGGAAGATGCAGAGCACGAAGTAATTAACAGTAGCCTAGATGAGTATGCTAATTACCAGCCCAGCCCCAAGTCAAAATGGACTAAACACAACAGGATGAAACCCAAGTGGATGAAGGATTATGTGATGATGCCTTGAGCGCCTTGAGTATTGTAAGAAGGAGGTTAGAAGGGTTAGGATAACTAAGCTGTCCATTTTTCTGTTATATTGCTGATTTTGTTAGATTGTCTTAAAATTCTGTTAGCACTTTTTCGTTTTACAATTTTGTTTTTCTTGGGAAATGTCTGCATAAAGGAGTATCCCATATGAATGAAAAAGGCTGATTTGCATTTTGAATGAATTTGGTTGTTAGGAGGAACCATCCCTCGAAGAAAGGCAATTTTAAAATTTTTAGCCTTATCAGATCCCATACAAACCACAACTCTCTAGGATCCTACAGAATTAAATTAGAAGGAATTTTTTTTATAAATAAAAATATTAGCAAACCACATGTATATATATAAGTCACACAATGAATAGTTTGTTAGGTTATGTATGGAAGCTTTCGTTTACATGTTTTGAAAAGCTTGAGCGTTGTCTGGTATGAAAACTCATTGTGGCTACTTCAAAAGGTGATAAAGTTTAAAGAGTATCACTACATTTTTCCCAATTAAAAAATTACAAGGACAAAGTCTCATAACAATCTTAATTAAAAAAATTGGGAAAATTGTATATCATTTTGTAGGACACAAAATTGTGTCATTTTAAGTGGGATAAAGAGATAAATCAAGAGGAAGAGAACGGGTAGAAAAAGTTTTAAATGTGTAAATTCCATCTCTTTGTGAGAGTAAAAGAATATAAGGTGTGTCATTTAAAATGACACACCTTTTTTCCAAAAAAAAATATCATATCGCTGTAATCACATTTCATTGTATATAACTATTAATTACACCTTCTTCAAAAAAAAAAAAAAAACTATTAATTACACCAAGGCATATGCGCATCTAAAATGTGTCTAGCCTCCAAATAATGAAAAAAAAAAAAAAAAAATTCAACTGAACCCTATCTTTGCTAATCCATTAGCAATAATCTAGAATTTGATTTTCCAACTACATCAGTAGGGAGGAGAAGTTTCATTAATCACTTGAAAAGATTGTTTTCACGTTGTCATTTCGTCAAGTTTACTTAACTTGTTAACATTTTAAAGATTGGGATGAATTTGAAGGGTTCTGAAAAGATTTCGGATAAAAATGAAACAAAACATAGTGTTGGAATAAAATTATAACCTAGAATAAATTACAGGAACAAAAAGTATATTTTTACCAAATTAAAATCATTCTTATACTCTTGAAATATTAAACAGATTTATTTGAATATTTTCTCATAAATCTCACTCTTCGGTTAAATGTTCTTTCATGTAAATCAAAGTTATAAAATCTCATATTAATGATATGAAATTACTTTTTACTTCATGAAGAGTTCAATTTGATCCAGGTGTAATTTCTTTTTATTATCATTAAATCATGTGTTGAGTGCGAACCAGAACAGTGATAAAGTTATTCCTTTTTGACTAAGAGATTATGAGTTCGAATTGGGAAAACAACGTATTTGCAATTATTTGCAAGGATAAGATTGCGTATAAAGATTGTCCTCACCTCACACTCATATTTAATTGGGAGTGACTTTTTTTTTTATTAAATCATGTGTTGACGTGCTATTAACATATATTGTTTGAGTTTTGAAGTAGTTATTAATTATCATAGCCAAGTTTATTTAATGATATCGTAAGCATATCATTGAATAATGATGGTGCTAAACCATGATTTTGTTAATAAAATTATGATTAACGTAACATCATTTCCCTAAGCATCTGATATAAACCATGATTTTGAATGCCATAAGCTCAGGATAGTCTACTTAGTCTATTCTTTGTTATGAACCTTGATATCACTACACCAAAAGCTAGTTCAAAGGATGAGAGTACGTACTCAAGACCTTATAAACCTCACATTAGCTTCCTATACTGTTATGGACCCATACGATGGGCCCATTAAGTAACAAGCCCAACAAGGGGCAATCCAAAAGTTGATGAGTCAGCACAACTATCCACTTGATGTGTCAGCATAGCTACCCACTTGATGTGTCAGCATAGCTATCCAAGCTATCTACAGGTAACCTCTATAAATACCAGGGCAAACCCTAAAAGGTACACACATTCTCTCTCTAATTGTTATGCTGTCACTGTGCACACACACACCCCATTGGCTAACGCCATCATTGTATTCTGTGCACAGTGATCTTCCCGACTCAAGGGTATCTCTCTCATAGATACCTTGGAGAGGACATCAGATCCGATACCAACGTACTTGTAACATCCCCGTCTCGAGCCGGTTCAATTAACATACATATGATAAAACAGAAAACAACGGAAGACTTAACTTCTGAAAATACGAGCTAACTTTTTTTCTTTTTATTTTTAAATTCTCATTCGTCGTAAACGAAAATCGGGCAGAGTTTCCTCTATAAATCGGACAACTGGGGATTTTCCAATCCCACACAGAAGCATTTCCTGATAAACAATTTATACAAATATACTCAAATGCCCATCCATGGGCGCATGCATAACTTGGCTCAGTGCCACTATATCTAACAGCATGCAATCCAACAGGTAAACATATCTGAATACTACCTCATCACATAACGTGCCTGAATACCCAAATGTACATGCATCAAAGTGACAGACATGTACAAAACATATACAGGCCATATACAAAATAAAGGATCAATATCGTGATCCATCAAATGCGGAAATACTAAAAGACATCAAACACTCCAAAAGGTAGTACCCTCCAGCCACTCAAAATCCGATATGTCAACTGCCTTAGCCACGTGTCGTGTCCCTGCCTAGTGAGGACTCACCGGGAATCAGGGCACCTGAAAATATGTCCCCAAAGAGGGGTGAGATTACAAATCTCCATAAGCTCCAGGTTTATAGAGAATTCTCCATACCCCTGGCTCACTCCTGCACGAAAGTCAGATACAGAGTATACGAATACAACATATAACAGATATCATAACAGAACAGAGCATTTATCCATATCATATCAGAGGTGTGCGTCGTCATTCCCAAGGGAGGACCCCAAGCGGAAATCAACGCACATGTTCCCGAGGGAGGACCCCAAAGCGGAACCAGACATATCAGAGGTGTACACCATCAGTCCCGAGGGAGGACCCCAAAGCGGACATCCGGGTACTATACAATCAATGGCCAGAGATTGCTACAGAAATCATATTACAGAAGTCATATCAGAGCAAAACAAATCATGTTATCAAATAACTCTATATGAATGCATCTATACAAAGCATCTAATAACAGTCATACAGTCTAACCATAGTTCACTAACCATGGTGGAGCACTCAAGCAGGAAAAGACTCCTTAAATATAGAGCTTACCTCTTGAAGCTTTACCAATACGCTTACTTGTGGAACAAGTTACTTTTATCGCTTCAAGAGATATCCGATCCTTCTCAATCCCTAGGCACACCTAGAGAATAATTTCCAATGCATCAATAAAATGATGTTATGCCATGATTATTTCATAAGCACACACTTTATTGTTTACTTTACTTTCTTTATATTTTTGCCAATACTATGCCAATACTATGCCAATACACAAGTCTAGCCCATTTTAACCAATCATTCTTATAATTTCATGTATTGTACTCAACACTTTAACCAATTAATACATGCTCTATCTCTATTTATTTTTACCCTATTAGGCCAAAAATCCTAGAAGGAAGGCTAAGGGTTTTCTTTCTTGTCCATTTGTTTTCCTTCA